TAGATGTGCATTGTTTATCCTCTCAAGTGTCATTGTAAATTTTTTGTTATTTGATTATCAGGGCTTTATTTTGGCAATTCAGTTTTAATTAAAAATTTATTGACTTTAAATTTTTATTAAATAATAAAATTAAAAAAGATGAATCGAAATGAAAAAATATCAAATACAAATAATATACTACAAGTTTAAAAAATATATATTTTGATCATAAAAATAATACAAATTATATAATTTTAACGTCTTAATATTTTTCATATTTAATTTTAATATAAACTTTTATTTTTTATATTATTTAGTTCTTAGTTGATAGAGGAGAGAGAGGATGTTGGATTTTAATGGTAAAAAAAAAAACATTTCATTAACACTAATTTAAACAATTAAAATAGATGATATTTATATGAAATAGTTCCATTTGATAAGAGAAATTCATGTTATATGTTTTTTTATTTTTGAAATTTGTAAAAATATATATGTAAACTTAGATTAATTTTTTGTTTTGAATTGATTTTAATTTTTTAAATAATTTTTTAAGATTATGGATAGATTTATTATAATCTATAAAATGTTTTATAAATATTTTTAAATTAAAAATTGATTAAAGAAAACTTAAGCTATAATTTTGCGCCCATCAAAGTAGCCGAAATCCGGATGAATTGGATGATGTTCATCTAATTTTTTTAAAAAAACTGGGGGCGGATGATTGCAACAAAAAAAACATGGGTTCAGCGACACTTGGTCTTTATTTCTTTTAATTATTTAAAAAAAATAGTTTTTTATGGATTTTTTCTTTATTTTTTTAATTTATACTTAGATAAATATCAATTTTCTCTTTCATTTTCATTAAAAAACTTCTTTTAAATAACAATTAGTTTTTTGGTTATACATTTAAATTCAATTTTTTTTATTTATGTATAAATTTTTTTTATCCTTTATATAGATAAATTTAAAAAAAATAAAAAAAATTCAAATGATATTTTTAATATGTGCAGTTTTGTATAGTGTTTTTTCATTTTATTTTATTTAATCAATTTAATTTATTTTTTATTTATATTATCATTTACTTGAATAAAAAATATTTTAATAAAAATATTTAATAAATATAATCAAATAAATATCTCATCTTTCAAAATTAAATATATTAATTTATATATATCTCTTTACTTTGAAAATTTTATTTTTAGATATTATTAATAGTTTATTTATTTATTTATTAGCTTATATGGTTTTCAAGATATATAATTACATATATTCATAAAAATTTTGATTTGAATTTAATTTTTTTTAATACTGAAAACATGTTAAAAAAAACTTGTTTTAAAAAAATATATAAAAAGAAATCTAACGGCTAGCATGTTGTCTATTTTTATCTCGACTGTTTAGGAGTCCTTCTCCAATCTCACCTGGGAGCAGCTGATTTTTATTTTTCCTGTTTGTGGGAGCGGCCACCAGAAGAATCAGGGCACAGCTCAGAAAATATATGTATAGGATACAATTGCCATTAGAAGAAAAGTGCAGGGTTAATTTTGTCTGAAAAACATTGTTGGCCAAGAATGCGGGGGAGAAGCGCCTTTTCCATATTCTTGGTGGGTGGAAAAATCTGGAGAGAATCTCATGATTTCCGGCTCCAAATTTGTCGAATGAAAAATAAAAAAACGCTTTATACTTTTTTAAATTTGTAGAATTGGTGCATTTAAACACAAATTTCATCTCCATGCTCTTTTTTTTTTGTTTTTCCTGGAAAAATAAAGTAATACCAATTACTAAACACACCCTGGAATTCTTCGAACTGCAGCGCTTCAATGCAAGGTATATTGAAAAGGTCAAAGACAATTTTATGTTTTCTTTGTTATGAATCAAAAGTTGTGATAGAAAGAAACACAACAAAATTGAGAAAATAATTTTGTTTATTAAATGAGAACGTCGGCTATTATATAATCTTATATGAATAACAGAATGTAAATATTACAGTCCACAATTAACAAAAATGTGGCAACGTGCAGCAAATAAAGAACAAATGAAGAACAAGTGATCCCATTTAATAGGAGTTTATTTGAAACAAAAAAGCAAGTATAATCAGCAAGAGAATAATTCCCGATACTTGTCATTCTCTCCCTTAAACTAATGCAGATATCAGTTAGTTTACAGCAGGAACCTCTCAAACACCAAGTAGTTCTCTCATCTTTAGAAAAGATTCAAGCTTTAATGGCTTAGTCATAACATCTGCAGCTTGATCTCATATACCACAATAAATTAGCTCCACAATTCCCTCCTTAGTAAGATCACGCAAAAAATGAAATCGCACATCTATATGTTTGCTCCGTCCATGCATCACTGAATTCTTTGACAATTTAATTATAGAATAATTATCACAAAAA